GAATAAGAAAAATAATTTGTTGTTTACATATTTATTCCTGAACGAACGTGTTCGGACGAGGCCACTCTGCCGTGACTACATGCATTCGCCTCTCCACCACAGTTTCCTTATGCTGCAATCAATATTGGCAAGACGTTTATGTATTATACTTGAAACTTTGCTCCCTGTACTACAGGGTATGTTAATTTTTCTGTACCCGTGTTTGGCTGAGTAATTTGCATGCATTTGTTTACGAAAAATTTGTTATCAGGTTATCTCCTATAGATCTGTCACCACCGCAACTTGGATATTTTTCTAAAAATGTAGTAATAGCTACCGTCAATGACAAAGTAGCGCTCAGCAGATACTGCACTGTCTGCACCTATATATACCTCGCCGCTCGTCACTAAAAACTCTATGCTACTGGACAGAACTACCATTTGTAGGATTGGGAATATCACATATCACGAACGAAGCTGTTTTGATCTCACTAGAAAGTTGTGGTTGTATCGATTACATAATAGATCGTTTCTATAGAAGGCCGGCGAGATAAATGTAGTAGTCGTGATATTGGAGTCCATTGCATAAATAAATAAAAAATAAAGTCCTCGATGAACCTAGGCATTAAAGCGAATAATCACATAGAAACGATTAAAGGAATAATAAATAAAATCTATAATAAAACTAGCTTCAATTAAAAAAAAACACAATATAAACCTAAATCACGCGTTCTTTAGCTCGTGGTCTAACTGGGGACTCAAGATTAGGAGTCGTTCTGAAAAATTCATTAATAAACAAATTACGGACAATTATTTATCTCGTGTGGTATCCACTAACATTAGCGACATTAATGACGCTAGGCAAAACCGAGCTAAACAGTGCCAGCATGACTCCTTCACTACAGTTCTCATGCCAGTCGTATAACAAGGTTTCCGTAGGTGAACCTGCGGAAGGATCATTAACAGTCTGGCTCTCTCAAATCAAAGGCTCGAGTGATTCACACATCTCTCATTCTGCACTTGAGAGGTGTGTGAATCACTCGAGCCTTTGACTTGAGAGAGCCAGACTGTTAATGATCCTTCCGGAGGTTCACCTACGGAAACCTTGTCAGTATACAGGAAGCGTGGGGGTGAAGCTTCATGGTACATCGCAGTCCACATGTCCCGCGCCTGCAGTCTTGCGTAATCGAAAGCTTTCTCAGGAGAGCGGTTCTCGCGACGACCGCCGCCCAGCAATTTACGCAATAGACGAGCTTTTGTGGCTATTTGATTAGATTCAGCGCACATTTACAACGAGGAAGCTACGCTTTTGTAAAGTTATTAATAAAATTTGCCCTAAAATTTCTGGATTTGGAGTTTCTCAATTGATTATAGTTCGCAAAATTCGTCCACAATATAACGTCGATTGTTAATGTTATTTTTTTATTTAAATGCAAAATTTCATTTGCGAAGTGGCTCGTATTTTTCGTTAATCCACACGAATCTGTCACCATCTAAAAGGGATACAAAATCATCCAAGAAAAATCACTCCAGTTTTTTGCATGACATCCAGATACCGACGCAATGCCTTTGCCTTTACACTATATGAAATCAGTTATAAGAAAACTTCCATTCATCAATTGTAAAAATTCCGTTAATCCAGAATTACAGAACAGGATTTACAATCGATCGCGGTTGCACACATTTTTCTACGGAAGTGACTTCCCATTGTCTCAACGAACTTAGACTTAAGCTTTATTTATTTACGTACCGAATGTACACGTTCGATTGCAGTGCGTGAAATTGTTATACAACAAAGTAACTATAATTATAAAATTCGTTAATTTTTTTGATCGAGTGAAATTCTATTCATTACCCAGAAGAACGTAATTTAAATTCTGAGATATTCCTGTCATCGCCAAAAAATACAAAATATTTTGCTTTGATTTTCAACCCAACTAAATTTATGAATAAAAATATCACGGCGATTAAGTGGCCTAGTAAAACATCGTAATTTAACTCACACAAGATCGCATTCTAATGCAAAATGACATTCATAAACGATATCGTAAATTATTACTGAATTGCGTACTAATATAATGGCGCATTCTTATCCGATATCGCATTCAGTACAATGTCAATATTGCATTGGTTTTTTGACAACAACAACTTGGTTTTTAGTATATAGCTTTATATTGAATATTCTCATTTTGCTTAGTCATCAATGAAATTAGTACAGTTAATTTATGAATAACTGTTTTTCGTTTCCGTAACCGATACACAGATTTGTCTATTGTTACCAATGTAGCATTAGAAGTAAAATTATGAATGATTCACCTTTTAAAATTGAGACCATCTGTTTCGCAGTTGATGTTTAATTTGACTTCCGGGGAGAAATAGCTTAATTAGTGAAGTGCTAGTAAACCATTTTACTGCTCATAAACTTTAAAATGTTAATGATTTGAGTTTTCGAAACATATTCAGTATATCAACAGGCAACGGGCCTATTTCTTCAGCGCCGACATTTCTATTCTATAATGTAAACTCATTGTAAAATATGATTATTTTGCGTATATATTTTATTCATGTTGTAATTGCGTTTATGTTCCAATCAATTTTATCTTGCGGAAGTGTTATTTTTTTCCCCAGATTAAAAAAAATGTTCCCTAAATGCCAAAAAATAGATGGCCAATGCAATGATTGAAAAGCACACGTCACACGAGTCCGCACATCACCGGCCACCTCAACTCCTAACAGCAATGACGTGACCATGTCTTAGCGACGTCTTTATACGCTGCCAAGCGTGAGAAAAATCCAGGATAATTCTCCGTACAATGCCGAGCGTCACTCAGTCGAGCTGTCCAAGGAAAAATATGCATCCCTCCTTGGCATAAAAACATTACCGCAACCCTGAGGCTTCCGTCTAAAAAAATTGATTTTTAACAGCGAGATTCGATCTGTATCGTTCCGTGGAAGGTGTGGCGTGACGCCTTGGGTTAGGATTTGACGAATAAACGGAAACGATTATATTGTAATGAAACAGACTTCAGGAAAATTTAAAATTCAATCATTTTAATCACTATGTTGCTGTATGTGACTTTAAACAATTTTATTATTGTTGCAATAACTAAAATTTTATTGTTTGAGTAATTTAATTCTACTTCTTCTGCTAAGCAACTATTATCGATTAGCATCAGTTTCAACCCCCATTTCTTACAACGAGAAGAATTTTGCTTCATTTCGCATTGAATTATGCATGTTCCTTATTAGCACTTCGATGGCAGTGGCCAGTGGGTATCATATATCATTTATATCAAATTATATGTCCTCTCTCGAAATTTATAGTAAGCATTTTACATTTAATTGCATGTAGTATTACCCATGCATTGAAGAAAGCCTCGATTAAAATAAAGCATAAATACCCCAATCAGTCTTTGAACATTATTTACGATTTACATCGAGAATCAGAATGAGCGAGCCCAGCACGTCGTCTGTGGGGCGCTGTGGTGCGCGGCAGCTTCCAGCGGCCGTTTCAACTGCTATTGATTTGCCGTTTTTGTGTGCTCGCCGTTTCCCGCGCTCTGCAGCGGCAGCTGCGCGCATCCCCTTGAACAGCTCACCAGTCCCTTTCTTCCTTCAAAGCCGCCTTTTCTCCCCCAACGCTCCCACTACGACTTCTCCACCAACTCCCTAACGCGGGAGTAACATGCTCCCTCATTGGCCGATGCTCCCACAGAGACACGCCGTGGATAACCTTTTCACGGTTAAATTACCACGTTTAGAGAAAACCTACAATTGTGGAGATCTAAGTTGAATCAAAGATCAAAATTCAACTAATACGGAGCGTATAAATGTTCATCAAACAATCGACGCATAGTTTTTTTTGTTTGCGATGTTGAATGAGGGAATGTACGCCACTCTGCCATTGGTTGGCGAATGTGGCGTCGGCGTGTGGCATAACAGTGTGCCACATCAAGCTCTGCACTACCATTGCATCTTATGTTACCGTTATGGCTGGCCAACGGTTTTTAATTGATTGCTGGTATTGCTTTCGATAATGCAGTCCTTTATATATGATAGATAATGCGCAATAGATTTTTAATCGCATGCCTGCTATAGGTTAAAATGATATTACTCAATATGAACGTAAGAAAGTTTGGCACGTTGTGCGAGAACTTTTACAGCTGCCCGAACGCAAAAGAAAGTTCAAATGGCGTGCCCAAGTCCCTCAATCGATCTGTTAGATTTGTAGGGCGCTAAATTCATATTAACAAATGATTTATTTGTCCTAAAACATGAAATAAGCCATGAGGAAATACATTGAAATATTAGTTCTAATTGTTTTTTCAAACCATCGCATTTGCCAGCCATTGAGCTGGAATGAAAGTTTTGTGCAAATTAATTTTCCCACAACAAAATTGAAACTATAGAAAGAAGTAAGGAAATCCAATGTAGGAATGCATCTAAATACGAGCCATACTTTCTTTTAATTTTGTCGAAATGATCTACCAGCATGATAAGGTGTTACAAGTAAAATATTCTGCCGCCTTCAGGAGTGACGACTTCATTAAATTTGCATGCGGGAAATGCTTATCCTATTCTTCCTAAGTGGTCCCAATTTACATTTGTGATATGTCATCTGCGTTAGATAGTCAGATGTACAAGTAGAAACTCGAGGAACGCCATTACAAGGAACGATGATCAGGTTAGCCAACCCATTCCGATAGAAATTCATATGGTTCAGTAGCAACGTTGACAAAATATATTGATTTGAATATAAAATATTTACAAACTCTGATAAATTGTTTGAAAATTCTCAAAAATATCCCTCAAATCTTTTAGGTCATGATTTTTTGTTTGCTCTGAAATGATGATATTACATTTCATTTATTTTTTTGCGTTATTTTGAATATTAATATCATTGCTAAACGATATAAAAAAATATTTTGTATAAATTTCTATTCGTAGTTATATTTTTCTATTTGATATTTCACATGATCAAAAAAATGAATTGTGTGGCGTTCTGATCAAAGTTGGTACTATCGAAGAACGCCATATTCGTTCGTGACTCCGTCGCAGTATGACGTGTGTGGCGTTACTCTTCAAGCTTCACAGATAATCGACGGTAAGAAACAGTTTAAATGTAAAATAATGCTTAAATAACTTTTTTATATACTCCTGCTTTTGTTTAAGATTAACACGGCTGTATTTTTGCCACTTTAATTGATCAAAATTAAGATTAATGGATGAAGCTGCGGTGATGGTTGGCGGCGTCACTGACGCCATTTTGTTCTATCCGCAGCATCCGCCATTGCTGCGTGACCGCTTTCGGCCAACTAGGTCCTAACTCTAATGGTAGAAAATTTCTACCATTAGACTTATATAATACCATTTCTACTAGAAATGGTATTATGGTAGCATAGTGGCAAACCACAGTTGGTAGCTATAGTTCAGTGTATAATTTCGAACATTAAATTGTTCTATAAGAAAATCAATTTTTGATCTGCACCTCAAAAATTGTTCCGATTCAGAAATAGAAACGCTGGAAAATGGAAAAATATATTTTTTAGTTAGCCTATATACCTACCTACTGATTATTATAAAAAGTGCATGTTAATAAGCCATATTTTAACACATTGGCAAATTGTTATTGATACAAAATTTGACCACATTGATGATGATTGATGAACAAAATTTTGAACTAGATCAACTTGAACTTATCAAGTAGCTAGCCTAGCTAGCTAATTGAAAATCAACTGCATTCTGAGAGTCTGAGACTGATACCTATACTATAGCCCTAGGAGGCTAGGCCCCCTGGCCCCTACCTAATGTTTTGTTGCCACCATCATTTTGAGGCATTAGCTATTGGTTTCTAGCAAGAGTAAACATGATTGCCTAAAAAATTGAATGCAATTCCTTATTTATTATTGAACAAATATTTGCTGGTTACACTTGTGTACCTGTCATGCTCTTGTATAGTGACAAACCAGTGATTTTTTTATGGAATCAGTTCAATTTTAAATTTCCTCATTTCCTCAAGATTTAAACCGACTTTTAAAGTAGGCTATGAATATGATAATGCTAGTAGTATCCACGATAGTACTCTACTGGTCTACTTATAGGATTCATAAATTAACTTGAGGGAGACTGGGAGAGTCTAAAAAACTCTGCTTTGCTACTATGCGGCGTTGTAAGCTTGAAAGGTTAGAATTAGGTACTTACGTTAGGCCTAGCTGCCTGCTTTTAGCAGTTCACAATTCAGCTGAGAAAGATTCTTCTGGCAGGATGGAGTTCTAGGAATGACAGATGATTAAGGCCTATTGTATTTTTGATCCACCCTGGCTTGTTTTTTTTTTGGTCCAAAAATTTCAGTTAAGGTTGAAATGAAGAAAAATAGAAGGGTTTAATGCAGGATTGGAATTTTCCTACTCGTTTCTAAAATCTCGTGGCTCCACCGTGACAAACTTTTAATACATTTGGAATCTTATGGCCCGATCATGCACTTTTAATAATTAGATAGGAGGTAATTCATCTGGTGGAAATCTTGCAGTTCCGGCAATGGCAAGAAAGCTCTAGTCACAGCACAAAAGGTAGATGTTTTCCATGCTTGGATTAAAGTTGCATTGCATTACTTGGAGATTTCTATTAGATTGGATAATAATTATTAATTCATTGGCAATTTGTGCCCAAGTTGAACACAACAAATTAACCTTCATGAAGTTGAAAGAAATAGTGCCACCAATACGAGTTCAACGCGATGCACAGTACAGAGGCTGTTTGAGGCTGAGGGAATAAAATCATGTACATGAGAATACAGTGAAAGCACATGCACAAATAAATGATGAATAGATTGTTACCAGATTCCAGTTGCCAATGCAGTAGTTCATTTTAAAATGCTGTTGCCACATGTTATATACTAAAAACCATAACTGTGAATTTAATTGTAAATATTGCTTGAAATAATTAACCAGAGCTGGCAGCGCTACTTTGAAACGTTGCGGCGCTACCACTACTGCTACATGCTCTAAATGTAGCGGGTGCTACCGCTGCCACTACACCCACTAGATTGTAGCGGGCGCTACCGCTACTGCTACAGTAAAATGTAATGCCGCTACAATAGCTGCTACAATGCCCAAAATTATTGGAAATATCTAAATATTTATTGTTCTGCTATTGGGATTTACTCATGAACATTTAATTGATAATAAAACACTTTCAAAAAATGTCAATGCAACTTTATTGAAATTAACCTAACTGAACTAGTATGGGTTAGATACAGTAAATACAAGTTAGTTATTTTGAGTTAGTTGAAAGTTAGTCTACTTTAATCTACTAATCTCAAAAATTATGCACAGATACATATAAAAAATCAGTCTTTTTATTTGTATATATATGTGGACAACTTTTGAGATTGGTAGATTAAAGTAGACATCCATGTAGGGAAGGTGAAACATAAAAATAACTGTGAGCAAACTGAAGTTAGGTGGCTGATGTCTGTGATGTGGTTGTGGACATGTGGTGGCAGCTGGCATGGAACAACTAGTACTTTTGACACTAGTAACAGGCTGAGGTTGACAACATTACACGGAAATCTTTCATACTGTTTAATTCTGTAATTTATATTATGTATGTATCATGCTGATTTAAAATATTAACTATTAAGGAAAATTTGAAGGCTTTATCTATAAATGTAGCGGTAGCGCTGTAGCGGCAAAACCTCGTATCGCTACTTAAATATGTAGCGGGCGCTACTGCTACAATTGCTTGAATGTAGCGCCACTACCGCTACCGCTACTGAAAATGTAGCGGCTGCTACATGTAGCGCGCTACTGCCCACCTCTGTTAATAACCAAGTGGGAAGAGCCAATTCAAGAAGCCTCTACAAGTTAGTTATTTTGAGTTAGTTGAAAGTTAGTCTACTTTAATCTACTAATCTCAAAAATTATGCACAGATACATATAAAAAATCAGTCTTTTATTTGTGTATATATATGTGGATAATTTTTGAGATTGGTAGATTAAAGTAGACATCCATGTAGGGAAGGTGAAACATAAAAATAACTGTGAGCAAACTGAAGTTAGGTGGCTGATGTCTGATGTGGTTGTGGACATGTGGTGGCAGCTGGCATGGAACAAGAACAAGTGGTAACTGGTAACAACTTAACAAGTAACAACTAACATTTTGACACTAGTAACAGGCTGAGGTTGACAATATTACACGGAAATCTTTCATACTGTTTTATTCTGTAATTTATATTATGTATGTATCATGCTGATTTAAAATATTAACTATTAAGGAAAATTTGAAGACTTTATCTATAAATGGTGCAGTAGCGCTGTAGCAGCAAAACATTGCATCGCTCCTTGAATATGTAGCAGGCACTACTGCTACAATTGCTTGAATGTAGCGCCACTACCGCTACTGAAAATGTAGCGCCACTACCGCTACTGAAAATGTAGCGGCTGCTACATGTAGCGCGCTACTGCCCACCTCTGTTAATAACCAAGTGGGAAGAGCCAATTCAAGAAGCCTCATCTTGAGATCTTTTTGTTTGCAGTCCTAATAAACCAAAATGACTGTTTTAAATAACATCAATGATGTATTCTATTCAATTAACATTTGCCCAATTTTTGAAAATATTTTCTGAATGTTGAATCGGTAAGCAAAATTTTTCTCAACCCATTTGATGATCTCACTCCTATAGTTGAATATTTTAAATTCCTCTATTTGGCATTTCAAAGACTTACTCTATATAAATTGTGAAACCTTTTTCATAAGGCTTCTGACATTCATAGCTAATCAGTAATTTTTACATCCTATTCCTGAAAATTATCCATCTTGTTCAACTATCAAGTTATGAATTCTAGAAACTTTTTTGAAAATTTTTGGGATTTGAATTCTGAGAGCATCACTGCTACATAACTTGAATAACACCACATGACAGTGATGACACATACCTGAGTTCTCAGAATCCTGCCTCTTTGAAAACTCCCAATGAGAGACAAAATTATTCTTGAGCCCAGTTTCATTTTCTGTGTTTCCTGAAGTGAAGTCAGCAAGACAATATCAACAAAATTAGGCCATAATATGAAAAATTTCATATCGGCACATATAAAGAGGTGTTTAAATTTATGAAAAAATTTCTATCATCTAAACCTCAGTGTGTATCAAATCTATTCACTGTGAAATTGAATTTGACAGGGTGTGTTGTAGTGGGACATGTACAGACTCCAGTTATTCACCATCAGAATGCCTGAGACTTGACTTTTTCTTTGCAACTTGGCTACATTTTATCATCATGCAACTCATCCTGTTTTGTCATTATTGAATGTATGAACCCCTATTGATTATCCGAGATTCTATTTTGGCTAGGATTGATGTTGCGTCTTAGCTAGTCTGTTCCAAGCACTGAAATTTGTTGAATCAAATTAGGCACACCGAAATTAATTGACCAAGCATGCTTAGCTTTCTATTGGTGGATTTTTATTTATTTTAATTGAGGTTGCTAAGTTGCTTGACACATTATATATTATCTTAAACTCCCTTGTATACTGAGAATATATAATGCTTGATGCATTCCACATTTCTCCAAAAAATCCCTCGAGTCTCGGTGATTTCTAAAGTTTGTTGATGTAAATATGTTCTTCTCTACAAGTCTATTTGAAAGAAGTTATTGTTATGCTCCAGGCAGTTCTGAATTGTGCTCGAGACATAGAATGCTGTCAAAAATAACATGGCAGAAGCTGCCTGGGCATTTTCACTGCAGCTAAGCAATAAGCGGTGCAATAAAACTACATTCTATTGCTCAAGTATTTAGAACGCTCTATTAATGTTCATGCTAATAGACTGCTCATCCTAGAATGAAAAAATATTTTAACTTCTGGGAACAGTTTTCACCCTAGAATGAGAACTTGTCTTCTCCCTGGAGTGGAAACATCTTCCCTCTATATATCCACTTAATATTATTTACCAAATGATGCTCCTGATACACTATTTTAATTAATTGCACTTTAAGCAATATTTTTGATTAAAATTTATGACAATGTCTTACTCATGTGAAGATACTGAGGTTGTCTGGGATTAATTTGTGATTTATTAGCTTAAAACCTTACATTGAACTCTGCAATTGTCTTACATTTTGGAGTGAAATTTAACGTCGAGTCTAGAATTTTGAGATGGGTAGGCTTCATGATCTGTTGATCAATTTCTTATGCACTGAATCATCAGGATACACCAGGTTGCAGAATTTGCATTGTTGAATACCAAATCAATAGAGAACAAAACATTATTTGACAAAAAAGAACATTTTAAAGTTTTTTGCCTCATGTTAATGTTGATGAATGTATGATTGATGAATTAAATTTGTTTGTTTCCACAGGAGTTCTAGCAAGATGTCGAGTGGTTTACTCTCCCTCAAGTGGAATAACCACAGGTCCACTTTCTTCCATGTCTTGTCTACAATTCGTTCTAAGGTGAGAGGATGATCAGTAGGGTTCAGCAATAATTTTAAAATTGCCATTTTCAACTGAAAAAATTGAGCTAATATACCACATTCATTATATACAACAGTTATCCACATTCATTCTTAAATTATGTGCAATTTATATATGTTTGACATAACGAGTTGTTTGATTTGTTCCTGAAATGTATTTTTTCCTTGGTGTGCAGGAATCCTACTGTGATGTCACCCTGGCCTGTGATGGGAGATTTTATTCTCTGCATAAGTTTGTGCTGTCAACTTGTAGTGAATATTTTGAGGAGATGTTTGAGAGGACACAGTGCAAACATCCTGTTATAGTCTTGAAAGACATCAATTCTGAAGACTTGGAAGCCTTGTTGAATTATATGTATGTTGGTGAAGTTAATGTTGTGCAGGAGAAATTAGCTGGGCTTATCAAAGCTGCCGAGTGTTTGAAAATCAAAGGCTTAGCAGTTCCTGATGAAGATCCTATGGAATCTAAAGATAATTCTAGTATAGGTAGAGAACAACACAAAAGATCTCAGAGAGGCGAGGACAGCCCTCGTGCCAAGAGAAGAAGAAGAGAGAACTCGTCGGATGTTTCTGAAGAAATCCTCAGTCCTGTGAGGTCGCGACCGAGTGGTAGAAGCCGAGACCATCACCACCACCATCATCACCATGGCAGTCACAATGCCAAGAGTGCGCCTGTAGCTCCTAGTGGAGATAATGAAGATGGCACCAGAGAGACCCAAGGGCTCACTGATGCCTCTGAAGAGGCAGAAAATTCTTCCATTAACGCCAACAGACAAACTGATTCTAGTTCAAACAAAACCAATTCTGCACAGTCTTCTAGTCATAAGAAAGAAGTAGTACCTGAAGAGGTGAGCTCATTGAAAATTTTCACTTTTGTTTTAAGAAAATGATAAATTCCCTTTTGAAATGTCGAGCGTACAATGCGCCCTTGTGTAGTTTGATATACGATTCAATCTTCTTGGCTTTAGTTGAATTTTGATGGGTATTTTTGTGCCTCGAACAACAATTTTTTTTCCTCATGTTTATGTAAAGAGTGTAACGTTACTTTTTTCTTCTTTTCAATGTTGGAATGGTTTTGTGAATCGTTACTAGTATTTGTTGTTGTCGCTCACAGGTGACACTAGATGACGATAATGTCAAAAGTGAGCCTTTAGATCTTGACAACGAAGACACCGGCGACGACGACATGGACAACAAAGATGGCCTGCACCACGACCTGGGCTTCGACGGCTCCGATACCATGGGCGGCGCTGACGACGACGGTAATTACGTTGACGTCGACCCCTCCATGCTGGGCCAGGGGCAGCCCCAGAGCGTAGAGGACGTCGTGGCGCAAGCCATGCCTGGTTCTTCTGGTTTTCAAGGAGTAAGTTGGAATTTCAGCGCCGCGTGTATCTGTGATTTCATTCCCGGTCGAATCGATGGTATTCAGTATTTGTGGTCTGAAGGCTGAAAATTTTGCATGAAAAATTTTTATTTTGTAAATAAATTTTTTGAATTCTCGTTGGTAACTCGACAAAGTACCATTTATTAATCTACCTCTCTAGTCCTGCATAAAAATCTTTATTAATTTAAATATAATTGTATGTGTATTGAAGTAAATTGCCAGTATGAGACGAAAACGATAATTTTATGCCAATTGATGGCCTCGTGACCTTTGTTTACAGAACTCTTTCCCTCTGTGGGAAGGAGATGGCAGCTTATCAGGATTCCCCTCTGAAGGCTTCTCTGGAGACTCCTCTCAAGCACGTCAGATGGTGAGTGTTGAACTTTGATAATTGATCCGAAAACTCTGAAGGTGCGTTTGTTGAGGACATGATGTGCTGCATTGCCATGGTCTTGTCTCTAGCTGCATTCTCTTCTTCACCGTCTTGACTTCTCTTCACTGTCTCTATTTCTGAGTAGGTTTCTTTTGTTACAAAAATTACGACAAAAACTATCCACCAAAAATTGACCACCATCTGATGATGTCAACATCTACGACTTACCGTATAACACATGAAAAAAACCCGCAGAATGAATATAAATGCCGTTAAAAATAAAACTCGTTTGCAATAAACTAGTTTGGCGCAAAAATCCGGCTTCTAAAAAATCTTGTTAGCAAGGATTAGGTGTTCTCTTTCTACTTGTGTGATTCATCAAGAACCCTATTCATCAATTGAACAGTTTTTTTTTTTTTGAGGAATAGAAATCCATCACTTTCTCAGTCCATCATTCCTCATTATTTTGTTGGAGTTCAAAAGCTGATCTGAAATGAACATTTTGTAGCAATCAACACTTGCGCTATACCATCAATAGAAAGTTTATTTCACGGTTTATTAATTTTAATTATCAAAGATTCTCCTTCGGCTCAAATCAGAACTCGCTTTCTTTGCAACATAGCCAACGATGTTAAACTGTGACCCGGCCAAATGGTCTAATTTCCGCGATTTGCTTTGAAACAACGCCCCATGGAACGTGTCTATCCAACTCCGGAATACTTGACCTCAAGTGATTTGGTTTCATTTTTTTCTACCTCTGATTAACAGCTTTCATTAATTGTCTTCGGGACCGTGAGCAATGCAGGCTATTGAATGCACTTTTATTTTAATATCAACCTGAAAATAATTCATATTAGCAATAAAAATTCGTTTCGCTGAGAATTCAAGCACTTGCCCAATATTTTATGGAAACTTTTCTTTTCCTGTTGATTTTCTTAGGAAATTGAAATATATTGATACAAGGTTTACATCGGCACGCGTATACATGTGTGGTCAAACTTCATTAGTTGAAAATATTCAAATGAATAAATGGTTCCCTTCGAAATTAAAATATATCTTGTCTTCATCAAACGGCACCACAGAGTTCTCTGCTTATATTAAGGATATTTGGAAGCCTCAGTGGGATAATTTTTGTCTGAAGTACACAAATAAATTAGAAAGTAAATCTCTATTGGCTTTCATGGCCTCGTTTGTAATTGGAACATCCCACTGAGACTCGCATATTATTGATGATATGTCAGTAGTGTAAGGAGTTGGAGTCCATCATATTCTTGTCTTAATTCTCCAACTGTCTGTTTTTCGGACCCAACTCTGGCTGCGGTGTGAGGCTCTCAACCAACGACTAATAATAGGCAAAACTTAATCATATGCCATTATTTCCGGTTCAATTCTTATTTTGTCTCTGAATTATTCTCTCATATTTTTATCGCGGAATGAAATTATCAACTGAAGTCATACTCTTTATACGAAGAATTTAATATTACGTCGAACTTTGTTGACGTTCTAGAGACGTAAGAAGAAAGTTAACATGTCATATCGATGAATTAATACGTTCAAAAACACTAGAAGAAGAAAGTGTCGTTGGTGTGTATTGATGTCGGCCCTTCGCTGCCAGCAGCACGCGACGAGCAGCCAAGGTAGGTTGCTGGCAGTGGGGTGCTGGCAGCAATAGGCTCGACAACAATCTCATCCTGATGCTCTCTTAATTCGTTCCTTTCACAATATGAACATTAATCATACTAGAATTAGTTTACTGCTCCTGAAGTCTTGAATGCGAGATAAAATTTGTAGTTCACATGTTGGATCTTAGACCATATAAAAACACGTTTCGTCCTCTCTGTCGATCGTGATTAGGGCACTTAAGAGTGCCCGTGCTTTATATGCGCTCTCGTATTTCTGCTGGCTTCTTGAGGAACGAGTCCGATGTGTCCGTTACTAACCTATACACGTGTGAGAAATGGTACACAGCATCAGATGAATGTTTAAGAGCACCTCACACCGTTGGCTGTTTATTTTGTGCATTATTTTTTTAAATGATATTTATTGTTGATGATGTCGAGGGTGTACGGACGCTGCTCCCTTGAGCTGCTCTCACGCAACGCTTCTTGTGTACTAGAAGCTGTTGCGCTCGAGTACTCTATTTGAAATGCTAGGTACCACGCTACTGATGTTCTTTAGTTGCTCACCAATACTCACGGTTAAATTGAACTGAGTTTTCACCATATCATTTCCGAAATCTTTGTGAACTCCCGAATGCTGAATTAGTGTAAATTTTTGCAATGATACTCGTCAAATTCTATTTCAATATTTTATGATGAAAATTCCTTAGAATGATAATCAGTTGAATTGTTTAAAGTACTTTTTAAAGCGTTCTATTGTGAGCAATAAAGAACACTGTGACACTGGTACTCAGCAGCGTTCGCGACTTCCTCCAATGTTGTGGGCGAGGAGCGGCCGGTTCTTATGCAGCCGCTGCTTCGAGCTCTACATAAATGCGAGCTGGAAAACTTCGATTGTGGTGCCATGCAATGTTAAATGTTGCAGTTATACAAAGACGTTCACACGTCAGTGCTGTTTTTTGATTACCGCTTTCTCTTATCATGGATTCGAAGTGTTTTTCCAGTCTCTTGTATTGTTCTCGGAGGAATCCTCACAGATGCACTTAGCGTAAACGTAACTCGCGAAATTCGTCAATGAAAAAATTTTGTTTTTGTTGCAGTAATTAACCTGGAGTGCATAGCTTACTTGTAAATTTGGCTGTTCTGTGAGACTTCCTTCGCATGCGCTGCTTCCCCGCGGCGTTGCTTGATATTCTTACTATTATTACAGTTATTACTTTCATTCTTGTTGCCATGGCTATTGAGTAGAATTATCAGCCTCTTACTGGAGTAGTCTTAAGCCGCGGGGACTGGTCTGTGGTTATTGCAAGATTTTATTAAGCTTCAGCAGTCACGTTAAAATTGCCTTGAAGTACACAAGGTTTTCATGAAAATTTCAAAAACAATTTGATTGTCTTGCAGTAGCCATTGCTATGTAGAAATATTTTCTTGATTTGGTTGGAAGCACCGCCAGACTCGATGATGTATACTAATTCTCGCTATAAAGCGTCTTGTATTTATACTAAAAAGTTGTACGAAGTTGTCGGGGCTTCTTGCCAGTCTTCCTAGTATTGTAGTTTGTGTATTTGGTGTGTCATTTGAAGGTGTTCGCAACGGTTCCTCTCGGTCTGTCGATTGTTGCACCCTTGCGAACGTCTCCCACATCTTGATATGGAAACACTTCTCATAATACAAGAAACCACTGATAATCGTGCGATGCTAAGCAGAATGATGGACAAATGAGTGACGGAAAATACACTCTTATGACATAACGTGAGAAACTCGTCGTAAGGAAGATTCATGTTAGTTCGATGCTCTATGAGAACAATAGTTGCTGCCAACGAACGTTATGTTGCAACCGTGAGCTTGTAGAAAGTGCTATAATGTATTTCTGGATAGGATATTCTTTGTTATATTTTGTACTATATAAGAAAACGTGATGTATCAAATAAATTTTGAACGGATGACCGTTACTTCGGTGTTGTCATTTTAAACTTGCATCCTCTTAGCCGACCCTCCCCTGGAGTTGCGATTCGACATTTCATTTCCTGCGTTTTATTATCACTCTCTTTAAGGCTGCTCAAGTCGTATGTATGATATTTGCGTCGGAAATTTATGCGCGCGTTTCATAGCTGATCGGTGAAATACTTCTTTTTATGAAAATTATTGATTACAATGCGACGCGACTCGCCTTCGAGTGGTTTCGAAGAATATTTCTAGGCCTTGTGTATCCTTTAGGACTTGACCTAACACATGGCGCGCCTTTTAGATATTTGCAAATGTCAATAATCGTCATATTATTGTGATGTTAATGAATTTTGTGCTCGATTTGTTTTCGTTGAAGAATGCACACCCTGTTGGGTGTTATTTGGCCTGAACTCCTGTTCTATGTGAAATTTCGGGGCATTTAGCCGTTGGAAAAGAGAATTGATGAGGCGCTAAGGTGGGGTTGTTCTGTGTTCTAGGGCTCGTACATGAGAAGCGGTGAAGCATCAGCCGCTGCTGCTGAGCGCTGCCATGTGTCTGGCGGTGGACAGTCTTCTGACACCCCGCATCCGCCGTCTCTCCTCCGACAGTGGCAGTGTCCTTATTGCTCCAAACTATTCATCAAAAAATTCAATCTACTCACCCATGTCCGTATTCACACTGGTGAACGTCCGTTTGCTTGTCCTCACTGCTCCTATCGCGCAAATCACAGCTCTCATTTGAAAACACACGTGCTCAAAGTTCATTCCATTGGATCTTCTATTACCTCCTCGCACGGCGTTCCTACCCCGGTTTTACATCATAGAGAAGATAACTCGGCTCCGCCAGCTGTTATCGCAGTTTCTTCTGCAGTCACTGCTTCAACTTGTCGCTCAAATGTCAGGTCTTTAAAATCCCTTGCCGAGCGTCTTTCCTTCTCAAGAACTGAAATTGACCTCATTCAAGATCGGGTAAATTTTTCTGAACGCTGCGCTTCTGACGATGTCAGAAGACGCTCGAGAGAGTACGACGACTCCCGATATTCACCTCCTAAGTCCTGAAGAACTTGTAAGCAGCCTTGAAGTGTTAGTAGTAATATTTTATCTCTGTTCAGTACCGGAAGAAGCTCCCGCCTATTCGTTTATCACGCATCCACCCGCTCAGGGTTTGAGCTCTTCCTGTGACTCTTCGTTAGCGCCTTAGCAGGGAGCTTGTACAATTCTACTATGGGTGCAAGTTGGCTGATACTTTGTATTTTGCTCCTCAGTCACTTTCTGGCGTGCAGTGTACGTGACATAAGAATCGTTACAACTTGCCTATAATTTCGCCGTTCTTGTTAACTCAAACATAGCTTCTTCCTCGTGATCTTTGACGCATTATTGGCCTGTTAGATTTGCGCTCATTGTGGATGCTGATTAATATGAAGTTTGAGGG